AAGGTCAGCATGGGTTCCTGGCAAATGGATTTCCTGAGATCACTTTCCGTTCCAGGCTTATGGGACTTTCTGAGGGAAATGGTCTTTACCACCAAACTGTCAGACAGTCACGGCGCTTCATGAGAAAGGAACCAGACCTAATCTTTCAAGTCCACAGTCATTATCTACAGAGTCAGCAAGTAAATGGATGCCTCCTTACTTTTCAAACTGTCTAAACATGTAACCAAAGAGATCTGTTTCCCGGCCAGCAGTCAGCTGGTTTCCAATGAATGTATCTTTAAAGGATCTGCAATTCAGTGGTTGACAGGGGAAGCATTCTGAGATCAACAGAAAGTAATTTATGTTTGGTTTCAGCAGAAAATGATGGATGCCACCTGGAGCTGAGCAACTGAGAACTAATTAATTAGCAAGGTCTAACCTTCTAATCACTTGTAAGCAAAATATGCTAAACGAAGAGGTAAGGGTTGTTTTCATAAAATAGTTTCTCCTGTTCATCTCATGCTTACTACAGAATATCAACTCCCTTAAAGTAAATGCAGCCCAATATTGCAAAGACCAAATAAATTCCAAAGTAATTGAATTCAACAAGATGAAATTAAAATTTTCTTCCTAAAAATTTGTGTATATACTTTCAACGATACTGTATTTCAGTTGCTACCAAGATGTTCTACAAAATGTGGGCTATGTCATTACAGAGGATGAATATCATGAGTTCACTGAAGGTAAGGTAATAATTGAAGATATTTATTTTTTAATTGTATGCAAATGTGCTTTATAGTCTTGCATGCACTAACCTGTGGTTTCTCTGATATTGTTACATTTCTTCCCTATGGTGGTATAAAGTTTGACCATTTTTTCCTTTGCTCATTCAACAGTCGTTTATTGAGCTCCTACTACCTAATAATAGTGCTGGAAATTGAAATTGCACCATGAATAGTAATAAATCCTGGAACTCTTAAAGTTGAGCATCTGTACCAGGCTTCTTCTTTTGGGTCATCACCCAGAGCCCAAATCATGGCACAGAGAATTATTATTAGTTTTGAATGCTCAGCCTTATCTTAGCTCTTTTCTGGCTACCTCTTTTAGCTTAAATTAACTCGTTTCTCTTCATCTACCTTTTGCCTCAGGGATTTTTACTTTTCTTTCTGTATATCTTACTTTCTCTGCTTCTGGCTGGCTGGCAGCGGCTGCCTGGCTTCTGGCCCCGGGCATCTCCCTTGCTCTTTCCTCCTCCTCTCAGTTCTTCTCTTCTCAAGCCTAGATCTCCTCCTACTTATTCTCTCTGCCTAGCATCCCCACCTATCCCTCTCCTGCCTAGCTATTGGCTATTTCGATTTTTATTAGACCAATCAGGTGCCTTAGGCAGGCAAGGTGAAACAGAAGCAACACATCTTTACATAATTAAGCACACATCCTTACATCGTTAAACAAATGCAGCACAAAAAAAAAAAAGAACACACCCTTACACAGTTAAAGTAATATTCCACAGCATAAACAAATGTAGCACATCTTTGCCTGGTTAAAATAATATTTCGAGCAAGCATCTTTGAGGAATAGTTCAATGAAACACACATACTATGTTAATTATTTATTGACCTGCTTATTTCCCCCCACAAGACTGGCAATTCCTGAGGACATACATCATATAGTAGTTCTGCTGTTTCCCCATTCTTTATCACACTGCCAGGTGTATAGTAAGTGCTCAGTAAATACAGACCACAAATGGCATCAATTCCAAATGCCTTGAGAATATATTAGACCCACTTCCTGCCTCCAGGTTCCTGCCTCAAATTCCTGCCTTGACTTCCCTTCATGGTGGACTAAAACCTGGAAGCAAAATAAACCCTTTGCTCTCCAAGCTGCCTTTGGTCATGGTGTTTTATCACAGCAACAGAAAGCCAACTAGGACACTTCCTAAACTTAATTTTCTACAAACCAGTAAGACATTCTATTAAAATGCAAATTACATTGCCCTTCTTCTCAGAACCTCTCAGTGTCTTTCTATAATTATAAATCCATTATCTCCAACAAAGATCATGGCATTTGGCATGACCTACAAGATCCAATGCCATCCGCACCATTTTCCACTGACACTCTCTTTACTCACTCTACTTCCTTAGTGTCTGTAGACTCCTAGCTATCCCCAGACTATACAGTGTGCCAATGTGTGAGCATTTGCATTTAGAGCTTTTCTATCAGTAACACATTTCCTAGTTATTACCATAAAGAAAATAATAATATATCAGATAAATTTAAAAAGCTGAAATCAACTATATTTCCCCTAGTGATATCTAGCTGTTTCCAAAGAATTCTAGATTTCATTGTAATTCATCAAGGTCATTCTAAAATAAATATAAATGTTCAGTGGAATTACAGCTTGATTTACCCTAGAATCTCACAATATACCAGACTCACCAGAATATCTATTCAACTAGGTTTGTAGAAATATGTCAATACATATGTTGTAGATTTTTTTTAGGACTAGATTGTTGTCAGTTGTATAGAAACTTAGTTAGAAGTCCAAATACTCAAGTCCTCAGCCAATCATAGTGCAGGGAATATCACTCATCTATCTTGTAACCAGATACTTACTGAGTACTTAGCATGTTCTAGAAAAGCAACTAATTCCTACAAGTAAATGCTAGGTACTATACTCAATACTTTGTAAATTCCTCCAAAAATTTGCCTTGTACTTAAAAAGTGGCCTATTGGACCTCATAGCATAGGATGCCAAAGGAAGTAGCCATGCAGCTACTCTAGCTCTTCTCTTCCACTAGAGCAGTAACCTAACTGGGACCCAGGCAAGAGACTGCATCTAGACCAATTAAGTCAGTATAAGTGACCAAGTAAGATTATCCCCTACATAGCTAAGAACACTTCCCCCAAAAAAGACATAAAGGCTGATGTTTACCCTCATGCATGATGGCAAAGGACAAATAAAAAACATGCTAATCACTGGAAAGCTTTTAGAAAACAATTTTGCTGAAAAATGTCTTACTCTTACCACAAAATTCTTCATATTATTTCATGGAGGCCTTCATTCTAATTCCTTCTGTGGCACTAGAACAGAGGTTTTTACTTCTAATACTCATACACTATTGACACGAGAGAGTATTCTTCGCACCAGTCCAAGCCTGGCGATGGTTCAAGTTGGCTGAAGTTGGGCCATGTTGACATGAGTACATACATGAGCACACTGTGCCTTTCCCTACCTATGCTCTTCCTGTGAATTTCATTGTACTTTCACTGTAGAACAAGCCAGGACATTTGCTGCTATCATAACTTACCTCTATGGTTATGGTTCCATTAAGAACATGGCATTTATCTACATAGATAATGTATCCCTGTATTTATAAATGAGCCAGTGACCATTCCTTGCTGTTAGGAAAGACAGAATCTTCATCTGTTTCTGCAATATGCTTCACCTTTTCCCCTACCTATTACTCACTAGCCATGATGCTACCTGCCCTGTCAATGTCCTCTACTCAATACTCCCTCCATTTCTACATGAAACTGGTCCATGGTTAACAATGAATGACCATGTCTGATTCAGGTCTAGAGTGAGTTGTGTGGTTTGGTATTCAGCAGCATTGGTTTTTGCTCTTTGTCTTCCTTCTTACTCTTGCTCTTTCAAATGCTTTGTATGTATATTTGGAGCAAAAGATACAAAACTTTCAGGTGTTCTACTGCCTTGAAGCTCATAACAATAGCTCTCAAAGAAAATAATCCCATCAGTATTCACTACACTATTTATCACATCAAATAACTTTGTGGCTACCCTGCCATGGTGACCTTTGAAAACTTTATCACTGAAGACCTAATTTGTAGTAATTTAGCCATTAAAAAATCTTAACTAGGTTAACCAAATATTCAAAGCTCATGCAAATCTTCAGAATATATATCCTAGTATTTTCTATTACAAAAAGTTTTCTAGAAACCTGTGATCTTGAAGAACTGCACAAAAGTCTGAAGTGTTTTTTCCTCAGACACTGCTGGAGTCTCCCCACTCCTTCAAGCAAGTAGGTCTGACATGCACTCAGTACACGTAACCTTCCTTTACCTGTATTCTTTGGAAACCCACAGATATTTCAGACTGGATTCAATCCTAACAGGACTTACTTCTCAATGTGAAAGTACAAGAATAGTAACACAGAGGAAGAACTCATGTGAGATGCTTCTCATAACTTTTTAACATTTTTCTCCTCAAAAAAAATCACTTTCTTCTTTTATTAAAATTGTTTTGAAAACAATCATGAACACTTCACAGGATTACAAAGTTTGAACCTGCCTTTTTCATCAGAAAAATGTTAATACTCCATCTTCAAAGCTGGCATTATTATCCACTGATTTCTCAACCTCTCTGATTCCTTACTCTATTTTCCAAGACATAGGGCAAACCTAGACAATGCAGGATAATATCCTATTGTAATGCCAGATGATTAGGAACCCATCATTAGCAAATAAATTCCTTAGCATATTAGCAAACTCCAGGAAATAGGTTGTATTTCATGAGGTGGCCATTCGTCTACTTAACACATTTGTTCTGTTTTCATGTATTACACATATACCAAAAGTAACGTTTGTGAACATATGTCTATATCTGCATTAAGGGAGGTATATAGATGTAGTCTCTTAAATTTCTATGACACAAAAACATGAGACTTTTTTTCTGCTAGGATTCTGTCTGAGGGAGAGAACAGTGTCTACAAGAACAACTTGTCACCTGTTCTCTTCTGTTCAAAAGACTGCAAAACCATATTACCCTTCCCTTAGTCTCAGAGATGCTCTGAACCAAATTCCCTAACATTTTCCAATCCCAGATAATCAGTATATCTATGCATCACCTTTTAGGTGAATAGAACTGAATTCAAATGGTTGTCTGTAATTGTGCTATATTGTATTTATTTTCTATTGGACAAACATTCAAATGCTTTTTTAGAAATAGTAGGTCAATTACACATTTTAAACAAGAACTTGAAGGAAATCCCAGAAAGGCAAAATGATAATTACATGTTTTTTATTTCCAGGTGGGCCACAACATTAAAAATCAAATTATGGAGGGCAGCGAATATTCAGTAATAAGAGTCCACATCACTGAAAGGGAAGTAATGTCCACACTAGCTCTCCAGTTTTCACAGTTCTGAGCTCTGAGCCATTCCAAGAAAATCAAAACGTGATAATACCAGTCATATAGAATATCCCAAAGAGAGAAGAAAGAAAACGTTCCAGGAAGAAATTGAGCCTGAGTGGTTGGATGTTCTCCCTACACGGAAAGCTTTGAGTCGCCCTAAGCCTGCCACTCCCCTGACATTTATCCTTGCCTAATCCCTCAACTCTTTCATAGCCTAAACCACAGCCCACATCCATTCCTGTCAACAGTAGTGTCCCTCAACTAATTCACTCCACCTAGGAAAATATTTCTCAGGTTACAGGCCTGGTCCTACATGAAGAGTGGGCATGCAAGTCCTCCAGGCACTTGCTTCATGTGGGGGATACTGTGCTTCCATAGTGAGCGTCACAAAAGTCAGGAAATAGCTCATGCTGCACACACACACACCGGCTCTGTCTCTCCTCACAAATGTCCCACAGTGTTGTGGCACAGAAGGAAGGCAGGCCCTCACCATGTTCTGGCACCTCCATAGTGATTTTCCATCCTTTAGATCTATGAGCTAAGTTGAAGAGCCTCATACACTATTGGGCCACATGCACAGAAAAGAAAAGCTCACAGCAGTATTGCCTGACCTGAGAGACTAGTCAGTTCACAGAAAACATTTCCCTTCAAACTTAAAAGAAACAACTAAGCTCAAAACCTGGCACTCAGATTTACTAGAATGTGACACCGAAGGAGCATCCTCTCTAAAATAGAAGTAATAATTATGCCTACCTTGTAGATTTGTGATCAGAATAAAATGTTAGCTATGCATAAAAACTGTTTAACACTCTCTCTGATGTAGTAAGCTCTTCATAAATATTGGCTGCAGTCATTGATAAAGACTAATCAGATTCCATCCATCATGCCACAACATGTTGAACATTAGATAGTCATGGCTTGCTCAGCCTGCTCTCTTGTACAACCCAGGACCACCTGTCCATTGGTGGCACCACCCACAGTGTGCTGGGCCCTCACACATCAATCATGAATAAAGAAAATGCCCCACAGGCCAATCTGATGGGAACATTTTCTCAGTTGAAGGTCCCTCCTCCCAAATGACTCAAGCATGTATAAAATCGACAAACACTACCCAGCACACCTTGAGTAAGTAATTTCATTCCTATGCCTCAGCATGGTCAGTAATAAAAATGATAATAACTTAAAGTGCTTTTGTGAAGAAAGGAATTAAAACACAGCCTAAAATACAATTGGCATGAACTAAATATAAATTGTATTCTTTTCTCTGCCTCTCCAAATTGAATTCACAACCCTTACATTGGTACTGAAGGCCTTGATTGTGTCAACTCATGTCAAATATGCTATCCTCCAGTTGACCTCTACCACAAGCTATTCTCCAAACTTAAGCTGCATGTCTTCAGTCTTGTCTCCCCAGGTAGTTATCCATCGAGGTCCCACGCACCTCAGTGTCAGCACACTCAGGATTTTTCTGATGCCTTGGAACAGATGTGGTTCTTCCAGCTCTGAGCCTCATGGCACCTTGTCTATGCTGTCGTGGTTGTCTTTCTCCTGGTCCATCCTCATTCCAACCTTCTTGAACCTCCTTCAGAACAGCCACACAACACAGTCTGAAATAATGTAAGTGTTCAGAAAAAAAATCCATTGAAATGAAACTTTAGCATTAATGCATGTGGTTGTAAGATATTATACCTAGTAATATTTTCAGTACATCAGACCTCAGGTAGTTTCAAGTAGATTTTTATTATTCTAAAAGGTAGTTTTTGTCCAGTATTAATTCTTTTCAATATTCTAAAAGGTAGTTTTTGTCAAGTATTAATTTTTTCCAACCTCTATTTTATATTCAACTTACAAATCTGAAAACAAATGCATAAAGAAAAGATAAAATCAATTCACTACTTATAGCTGGTGCTGTAGCATTAGTTAAAATGGAACTCAATACAGAGATGCTTGGCTATTCTGGGAAGTAGATATCATCTGATTTCATACGTACTAAAATAACCGTCTCAGACTTCCTGAATAAGCCAAAGCTGTGGCCACAACATTTAGAAGCTACGTACGTGTTCTTGCTATTAAAAATAGAAATGTCTTCATTAGACTTACTTATTCAATATAAATGGTGTTTCAAGGGACCAGATAATAATATGTATGCATCCAAATAAAATCACACAGATACAGAATGATTTTACAAGGGGAAATACAAACAAAATAAGGCAAAGGAATAGGTATAAAGGATTATTTACCCTATGGTTCTTCAGGCTAGCCTCTTTTCTGAAATATATTTTAGTACATCCTCAACTCCCATCTAAGTGTCTAAGGAAAACTGTATCCACAGCATCACACTAGGAAAATCAAATCCATATCCACTACAAGTTTTACTAGAAAAGTTATAAGATGTTTATTGAAATCGTTTTCACTAAATTGTATAAAGCCATGTGAATTATTTCTTCCTTTTTGTCTATAATATTTAATTCAATATATAAAATCCAATTCTCAATTAATCTTTGTTAGATCATCTCCATAAGCCATATATGTAAGAAAAAGTCATGTATCTTAAAGTACAAATTAATTAGGTGAATTTTTAAGAACTATGAAATTTTCTAAGGGAAGTTTTATTGTTTATATTAATTATGGAATTCCACTTAAGCCTGAAAAATGTTCCTAAAGAGCATTTAATATAGTTTCATAAAATCAAAAATTACTTGAGCATAAATAAAGGAGGCATAAATAAATAAATAAAATTCCATTTTGGAATGGTCATAGGATCTTTAAAACCATAAATTTCTTAGACTGGGAAAGTAGTTTGATAGTAGAGGACTTGTCTATCAGATGTGAACTTCTGGATTTAATCACCAGTGTACACACACACACACACACAAATCTCCATGGTATCTTAACTATTTCTCACAAAGAAGGAAACTCACATTAGTTTATTATTTCTTGGTCATAACTTACATTATTAGAGGATCATTTAACTCCAATCACTCAATGAACAATCATTTGCCAGGTATTGCAGACATAAAGATGACTTTGTTAACGTTTTTAAATATTCAGAATCTGTTTTTCCAAACTATAAAGCAGAAATTAGCTCCTTCAGTCATTTTAGAAAAGAGTGAATACTGGTAAAAATGTCTGTCATGACAGCCAAGTTCAAGCTAAGGAATCATGTCTACCATTTAAAGTAAGGTTGGATAGACTAATAGACAATGCCTTTCAAAACAGATTTTCTTCAAAATGTTCACTAAACCTCTTATCCACATGTAGGACACCCCATGTAGTAGAAGTCTCTGTTTACAACCCTAAGGCCAAATACATGGGTCAGGGAAAGGAGTCTGGGTAATATAAGATATTAACATAAAGACATGGAATTACATTTTGGGGTGTATTTGAATTTAAAGTCAGATTAAGATCAGAACACTTAAGGTCAAAAATAATGACAAGGCTCATCTCTGAATTAATAATACCATGTATATGGCAGTCACCTGATGGGTATTCTGTCAGCGAGTGACTGAGATACAGTTTTACTGCCCATTTTTAATCTTTCCCAAAAATATCAAATGGATAAGTCTGTAATCCCATTTTCAAAGCAATAAAGAAACAAGTAAACAATCACACTGTACAAGTATGAATTTCAATTTAAATTTAACATGCTGCTTGCTATACAGAGACATTGTCATAGCTTTGTTATACTGTAGTTATGCAAAAGAAAATGGGAGTTCCCTTTTACATCACTTTGATATAGGAGGTGATGACCAAAACAAACAAACAAACAAAACAAAAACAAAAACAAAAACAAAAAACTCTTTTTAAAGTTCTCCTCTAACAGAAATGCTAAAGAGACAGAAGTAAGGGCTGGGGTACTGCTGTGGGATGTTCTGTATGTCAAATATGTTGCTCTGATTGGTTAGTAAATAAAACACTGATTGGCCAGTAGCCAGGCAGGAAGGATAGGCGGGACAAGCAGAGAAGAGAATTCTGGGAAGTGGAAGGCTGAGTCAGAGAGACACTGCCAGCCGCCACCAGGACAAGCAGCATGTGAAGATGCCAGTAAGCCACGAGCCATGTGGCAAGGTACAGATTTATAGAAATGGATTAGTTTAAGATATAAGAACAGTTAGCAAGCCTGCCATGGCCATACAGTTTGTAAGCAATATAAGTCTCTGTGTTTACTTGGTTGAGTCTGAGCGGCTGTGGGACTGGCAGGTGAGAGAGATTTGTCCTGACTATGGGCCAGGCAGGAAAACTCTAGCTACAGGGGTACAGCTGAGTGGCCGACCCATAGCTTAATGTGCATGAAGCCCTTAATGAGAAAGAAAGAGAACAGAACGGGTTTGGGGTCATACATATTCTATATGATCTATGTCTAAATAGATAGGAATATTTGCCCTAATAACCAACCAACTCAACATGGAGAATGGCTAAGTCCACTGGTTCAAGAATGGGAAAGTATAAATTTGAATGAAAAATCACTACAAAATTCAGATAACTACTCATAAGTGAGTTATGAATAGAGATTCAATAAAATATTTTAAAAGACATTTCATCATTTTTAACAGCGTGAAACAATTTTGGCTCCTTCTTCACTCTAAAGGTCTTTCTAGAACTAGATGTGGGCTGTTTCCTTAGTTATTTAGAGCTGATTAAGAATGTTTCTGACATTCTGTGTGTGGGTGTGGGTGTGGGTGTGGGTGTGGGTGTGGGTGTGGGTGTGTGTGTGTATGATCCCAAAGTGCCAGATTTCTGGACTTTGAATTGCTGAACGATGTCACATCTCTGAACGATCATGCTAATGAGCTGATTGTTTTACTTTTAATGTCCCATGTGTCATATACAATCAGACTTGCTTATTTGCAGATCTTGATATCATAAAAACACCATGTATCCAAATGTTCCATTTTGAAATGAACATTTGGTTCATATGATATGGAAAAATATGAGGGAAAAATAAGGAAAGCCCAAGAAAGAAAATGCACTCAGAATTACAGAAAATATTATCAACAGAATAATGTAATACTCGATTACTAACCATCTTAACTAAAATACTCTACCTAGCAATGTCACAAATACACATCACTTTGGTATTTCTATGTACACAGATGCACATGAAAATAGACGACATAGACAAGTAATTCATGACCAGGACAAGAAGTTAGAGATACCCTAACCAACATGTACAGTAGAACAAATTGCTTAAACTCTTCATACTCAGTTTTCTTACTTGCTAAATAAAAGAATAAAGTCACATACCTTGATAGCAAGATTCAATAAGATAACGCACATGAGAAACCATGTACATACAGCCAGGCCTGGTGGTGAAAGCCTCTCTATTCTTAGCACTCAGGAGTCAGAAGCAGTTGATCGTGAGTTTGATCACAGCCCAAGCTGTAAGACTCTGTCTCTAAAACCAAACCAAAACAAACAACAAAATGTACAGTGAATTTCCTTAGGAAACTATTTACTAATAAGAAAGTTGAAAATTAGGATTTATACAAAGCAATTGTATTGTTAAAGTAAAAATTTTAGCCGGGCGGTGGTGGCGCACGCCTTTAATCCCAGCACTCGGGAGGCAGAGCCAGGCGGATCTTTGTGAGTTCGAGGCCAGCCTGGTCTCCAAAGCGAGTTCCAGGAAAGGCGCAAAGCTACACAGAGAAACCCTGTCTCGAAAAACCAAAAAAAAAAAAAAAAAAAAAAAAATTAGAACAAGTTGCCAAGGTTAGAAAAAAATCTAACCAAGCGATATAAATATTTCAGGCTGTGCCAAGAGCAATACATATATCCAGAAGTTGAAGTCAGGGAACATCCATCAGAAAATAAATCTAAGGACAAGAACCGCAGCTCGGTGACATTCTGTGCACGTCCAGCACATGCAAGGCTCTGAGTTTGACTCTCAGCACCAGGAAAAATGTACAGATCCCACTGCAAGAGCAGAAACATAAAGGATACAGATTTAATACAATCTCTGACAAAATCTCAATGACATTCTTTACAGAACTGGAAATCGACTCTCAAATTCAGATGAAAGCATAAGACCCAAATAGACAAAGGAATCCTTACTAGAAGGAGAATGCTGGAGGAATCACAATACTCAATCTCAGATCCTATGGCAGGGCTTCATAACATAAGCAGTGTGTTCCTGGCACAAAAGTAGACATGGAGAAAAAAATGGAATAGAGCAGACGACCCAGGAAAAAATACACACAGTTACAACCACGTCGCTTTTCAGAAAGCCATCAAAAACATACACCACAGAAAAGAATACAGCTTTAACAAATGGTGCTGGGGGAACTGAGTTCCCACATGCAAAAGAAAAAAACTGCACCCTCACCTCTCAGTCCGCATGAAAATCAATTTAAAATGGATCAGAAACCTGAATGTAAGACATAGCATTTAAAACTGCTGGGAAAAGTTTAAGAAAAACACTTCAAGGCCAGGCGGTGGTGGTGCACGCCTTTAATCCCAGCACTCGGGAGGCAGAGGCAGACAGATCTCTGTGAGTTTGAGGCCAGCCTGGTCTCTAAAGCAAGTTCCAGGAAAGGTGTAAAGCTACAACGAGAAACCCTGTCTCAGAAAAAAAAAAAGAAAGAAAGAAGGAAAGAAAGAAAGAAAGAAAGAAAGAAAGAAAGAAAGAAAGAAAGAAAGAAAGAAAGAAAGAAAGAAAGAAAAACACTTCAAGGTACAAGAACAGACCAGGGTTTTCTGACATGGACTCCAATCAGAAAGGTTTATTCATTACTATGAGAATATAAACTTACATATCCAGTATGGAAAGCAATATGGAGGGTCCTCAGAATACTGAAAATAGAACCACCATATGACCCAGTTATACCACTCTGGAGTATATACCTGAAGAGATCTAAGTTCACATGCCACAAACATACCTGGACATCCATGTTTATTGCTACATAATTCATAATGGCCAGAAAATAGAATAAACCTAGATACCCATCAATAGATGGATGGGTAAAATGTTTTATGTTCATATTAATATAATCTATTATACACAATGGAATTATGTAACCATAAAAAAATCAAGTCATGATATTTGCAAAAAAAAAAGATGCAAATGGAAATTGCTGTTAAATGAAATAGGCCAGAGTCAAAAAGATCAATAACACATTTTCTCTTACTTGAAATTAAAAGTGTATGTGTGTGTGTGTGTGTGTGTGTGTGTGTGTGTGTGTGTGTGTGTGTGCATGTGCGTGTGTTGCAAAACTTGAAAGGGTATCAAGAGAAGGATGGAGGAGATTTTAAAGGAGCTGGGAAATCAATGTGGCAATGGAACATGTGACAAGAAGGTTGAAGTTGGGATTTACTGAGAGAAGAAAGAGAACCAACCGAAAGAGGAGACGAGGCCAGTGGGAATGCAGAGCAGATCAGGACAAAGTGCAAGGAAGGACATACACGTGTGAAAACAGCATGACGAAACCCACAACTTCGTATTCTTACCTAAATTATTACATAATAAAAATAATGTTAATCCACCTCACAGTGCTGGCAGGGAGCTGTTGTGTACTGTGGGTGGGAATGTAAATTAGCACAGCTATTATGCAGAACAGTATGGAGTACACAACACAGATGAATTCAGCATGCCAAAACATGCCTCCTTGCCCATGTGCAATACAGCACTATTCACCATAGCTATCAAATCATTGCATAAAGATAATGTAACAGATATACACAGCTGAATATTATTTAGCCATAAACAACATCATTTGCAACAAAACTGGCAGGATTGGAAGGCCTCTACCAAGTGAAATAAGCCAGATTCAAAAAAGATCAGTACCACACGTTCTCTCCTACGAAGTTCCTAAAAAAAATAAAATACGGTGTTGGCCTGAAGTAAAGCAGTGATGAATAGAGGTAGGAAGGATGAGACACTTGGGTACGGTTTGGGCATGCTATGTGCCTGCATAAAGCCAGTGCTGGATTCCATCAGTATCCGTTATTAGTGTAGCTAACACATGCTGATACAAAGAGTCCAAGCTAAAAAGAAGCCTCTCAAATACGGATTCCAGGGGCTTTAGTCATAAATAGCCGAAGCCTTGATGGGCTTTTGTTCCATTCCTGGTCTCACCTCTTGATCTTTTGCTTCCTTTTCCCTGGGCTTCCAGTGAGGAATCGTTCTGGGTCTTCTCCCACATTGCTGGTGATTTTTCTCTTCTGAACCGTAGATTTTTTATGACCCACGATTTCGCCCTGAATACTTTCACTCCTTTCTCAGCTGCCTCATTCCTCTGAACAATTTATTTGCTCCCCTGTCTTCAGTCAACACTTCTATGACCTCCACATCTGAAACCCAAGCCAAGTTCTCTCTTAGGTTTTCGTCCTCTGCTGCCGGCTGCATCCTGAAGCTTTGCACCTGTCCCATCTCCTTTCCACACTCTGTATCTCTCCCCTTTCTCACCGATTCTCCTCTAGACAATTCCGTCCCATCTGCCCAGGACTTAAGGTTTATGGTTTTGTCGTTTCTCATTCTTTTATCTCATCTTCTACCTCTAAATTGTAGCTAAGTCCTACAGATTCTAAGCATTCTGCAACGTCTCTCTAAGTAATTCATCTGTTAGCATTTCCTCCATGCTCAGACCTAGAACCTGTGATAATGCAAACACCTCCCACAGGTCTCTCTGACCTCAGAATAACCTCCATCCTTAATTAACTTGACCATAGATTCTCTCTGTTCCCAGTTTTGATTACATCATTTACTCGAATATAGGTATTCAATAACATTCAATATACCTCCTTTCCCTAACTTTCTCGCCCCCCCCCCCCCCCACACCCATAGTATGGCCTGGAACTTCTTCACAGCATGACCTCTCGCTGAACTTTCTCAATGATTGTTCTAATCTGTCCCACTTGAGTAACATTCCCATTGCAATACACAATCTAAGGTGTGTGTGTGTGTGTGTGTGTGTGTGTGTGTGCACATGTGTGTGCATGTGTGTATACCTGTGTGTGCATTCACAAGTAGAGACAAGAGGTCAAACTCAGATGTTATTCCTCAGCACAGTCATCCATCTTGTCTTCTGAGTAAAGATAGATATCTCATTGAGACCTGGGGCTTTTCACTAAGCTGTCCTGGCTAGCCGGTAAGCCCCAGGGATTTGCCTGTCTGCCTGGACAGCACTGGAATTACATCAATGTGTCACTATTTAATGTGCGTGCTGGGGACAGAACTTGGGTCCTCACATTTGCATAGCAAGAACTCTGTCTACCAAGTGAGCCGTCATCCTAGTGCCCACGTTCTAAGATTTTGACCACACACACACAGTCTCTTCAGGCTTTCTTCTTGAATTCCCTCCCTCATCTCTAGTGAGGGCCTCACTTGCCCACGTACGCCAGCAATCTCTCACCTCTTTTACATAGCTTAAACCATTTGGAGTCCTTTGTAATACTTTTCATTCTATATTTTCTAAGATAATCATTTAGGGATAGGTCATCTTCCATATGAAATCCAAGTCATTAAGGGCACGATCTATAAATGGCACCACCTTAAATCCACCATCTAACCAATAGTACAGGGTTTTACATGTGCTACACAGTCTGCAATCTATTTTAATTGTAAAAGTACTTATCAAATAGCCTGCTTGACTTTTATTGAATATGCATAAATGTAATTACCAATTCAGGATACTATTCACCTTGATGAGAGAACAGCACAATTAGAGCATATTGTATGCCCTTGCATAGTCTAATTAGGGTTCTCTTAATGTAAACAGAGAGAAGATATTTCAAAAATAGTCAACAATACTAGTACACATAAGCGCAAACTTGGTAGCAAATCTTTGGAAAAATCTCCCCAGCATAGCTTTCAATTCTAGATGCAGTTAATTGGTAGCATGGAAAACATTGACAAATCTCTCCAGAGCTTGTTGACATAAGTTCTCAATGGTGCTGGTAGGTTTTAACATCTTTAATTACAGTTATGTGCTGATGTGTTGAATCATTTTCAGTTCTGTTTAACCCCCGACTTTAAAAGCTTTCATTTCAATGCTAAAATCTAGCTGGCCTGCAAAGCCGTGAATGGAGGAGACTGTACTCAGTCCTTCCAGCTGCATTTGTCAAGTCAGAATCTGAGGCTATAAAATTCCCAAGTGGGAGAAGTTAAGAAGAAGTCCCACCCACGCACCTCTCCGGGCCTGAAGATCTGAACTCCCAGTCCCCCTGTCTTGATAAATTACCTTACAAATTAGCCCAATCATCTCACCATTATACTTGCAGGTTTTATTTCTTTCCTGGAACTTACCAAGATTAAAAATAAATTTTAGTTTCTTCCAACATAGTTTCCAAATTTGCAGCTCTTCTTTCCTTCACATCTGAGTCTACACCAAGCCAAATGCAGGATACTCCCTGCCCGGTGATGTCCCTGCTCATCCATCACGCCTTGCTGATGCGATCCAG